CGATGTATGCAGACGAGTCAAGCATGAATGACGCATAATTGATGCCAAAAAATTTTGTCTTTTCCATTATAGACAAAGTTAATCAGTTGTGAGGGAAAGTTGGTGAAATTGCAGCTATGGGACACCGCAGGGCAGGAACGCTTTCGAAGTCTCACGAAATCCTACTATCGTGATGCTGATGGTGCGTTTTTTTTCAAACATGACATGCAATTTCTAAAGCTCGGCTTTAAAAATTGCTTAGAAGACTACAGGTAACTTTGAAGAAGTAAAAACCAGGGTTACTTAAGGACAAAATCGATTAGTGTTCGTTTTTATATAAATCTGCAATCCATAAATATTTGGTTTGTAAAAATAAAGTGCTGCGTAAAAATGCCCAATAGCAAGTCATTCCAATAGTAAAATAAGATTCAAATATTACAGAGCACACGTAAAATACTCAGATTCACAGATGATATAGCGATCCATCTTGAGAAATATTCGGCTGCCATTGGCTGTGATTCCCACTGCATGAATACTGCCTTAGTACTTTTTTCAAAAATTGCACCAGTTTTGAAACCATAAACTAGCCATGAGTGATATTTCTCCTTGAAATCACATTTGCTGACCCTAGCATTAATCTGCTGCAATTAAGTCTGTTTGTTCCTTTCAGCCGTAATGCTAGTATATGACGTCACAAAACAGGAGACCTTTGTCAATATCAAGGTTATCTGTGTTCACTGTCGTATGGTGTTTTGTGTTGTTTTTGCTAGTCTGGGCTAATGTGAACTGAACAAGCAAAGAATTAGCTGTGCTGTTAACATTAATGACTAAGTGCATTCCAGTGTTAGGCAAACCAGTTCAGGCATTGTCAGGAAAAAATTAATCCTTCTTAGTCAAAAAAATCTTTGACTTATTCTATTATCCATCCTCGAAATTGTTTTATCTAGACTAGTTATCATTCGATCTATTGGCAATGCCCAGAGGCCATGCCACCGTGCGTAAATACAATCGCGCAGCATCAAATGCCCACGACACCTAAAACAAAGAGTGTAAGAAACGAATAAACTGTCGCGCAGTCTCTCATTTCTTCGGAGCGTCAATCGAGGTACTTCCCTTTGGTCAACCTCCCGCGTATATTATAACAATGCACTCGATGCCTCTACAAAAAGCCCCGTCGAATTTGCGCACATCTAAGAAAATGCTTGACTGCAACGTCGATGACTTCAATCGGCAGCTCCACTGTGTCTAAAATTTCGTCTTCTTCGAAGACTGTATTGTGGGAACAGATTGTGCCAGCCACCTCGTATGTCCATGGCTAGTTATAAATACACGGATCTGAATGCAGAGTCATTCATTCATTCATTCGTGTGAATAAGGTCTCGCATTTATTTTATCTTGATTCTCGGTTCTCACTGCCATGCTGTCCAGCCATGCCTATCTGTGTTTTATTCAGCTAGTAGAGAGATGGAGGAAGCATCACGTGTCCACCTCATTGAATCTTCATGCAGTCACCGCAGACAGCTTCGTAACGAAATTGTGCAGATGGTATACGGCTAATGTTAATCTAGCTGTTAATAGGATTCATGAAGGGCATGGAACGGGGTTGGTCGCCGAAAGCTGATGTCACGTTAAGTAGTTAGTAATGAAAATCAGAGTAGCTACCTTAGAGGATAGGGTTTGGTTTTGATTGCCACGGAGCTCGCTCCCCAAGTCTTTCCTGAAGTCGAAGGAGGGTACAATCCTAGGACAGAAAATGTATCGCCGACATATGAAAATAAAAACAATGCATTTTAACTAAAAATATATTTGGAAGTTAAAAACGCCTTTTGACAGAGTGTGAATGGTTTTTTAGTAAAATAAATAATCTACCCAAAAAATGGTTTACAACAAATGTACAACCTTTCACTCTGCTAAGGGTATCAAGCTGTGAACTATTTCAAGAGAAGTGGTGAAATTTGCAGAAGTTGCTTAGTCAAAACCGGAGATTTTGTTAACAATTTACGTAAATGCAGACTCATACAAACTATTGTGTGTCAATAAGGAAAAGTACTGCACCTGAATTACTAAAATCTTTTTATTTTTCTTGATTTCAAGTCTTGGCTGCACGATTTAGGCTCGCATGCACCGAGCTCAACAGTAGTGGCGATTGTGGGCAATAAAATGGACGACTCTGGGAAACGCGCAGTTAAGACGCATGATGGCGCCTCCCTAGCTGCCGTATGTTGCTACTTTGTAATCACACTTATAAAACTGAAGTCGTTGACAAGTTACAGATAATAATAGTAACTTATAATGATAAATAATACCCCTATGGCGCCTCCAAATAATGACCCAATTAAACAGACTTCAACTCATTTTTGAGTCACGACTTTTTTTCCCTAAATCAGAACAAAAGGAAACAGAAGGAGGCGCACTGACCAGCTGTTCGTGTTGGCTCAAAGAATTGTCCATAGCGCTTTTACTGTGACAATGCCTTACCTTATATATCTCTAGAAGCCGTAATAGTGGAAGCCTGCCACTTTGAATGGGATGTTTTAACTTTATGAAGTTAGGCTGCTTTTGGTAGTGATGTAGTATTGGAGTCCCCTCCGTATATTTCTTAAATTTTACAACAAATCTTGTAATTTCCTTTTTGGTTGCATTGTAGTAATAACATGCCTCCCACAGGTTGAAGTATTGGCGAAACAATTCACAAAAATTATACCCCATGTATAAATATCCTCCTTCAAAGCAATCTGCTGTCCCAAATACCTGACTGCGTATTCTTTGTAAAGTATAATGCGTTTAAATTCATCATTTCATTTTTCTGAACATGAAAGTGGCTATTATCAAAATTTTTACCAACATTTGCTAAGCTCCTACCCGAAATAAGCAAAATTTTTCCAAAACGCAATCGCAATAATTTTTTGTAAATAATACAGTCTGCTCATTTTATACATGTCACTTGCTCCAAAATTTTTGCAAAACCTTAATTTTTATCAAAGCTTTGACCTCTTAAACTTTTAACGTGCATAGGGCCCACGCAGTGGAAATCGCTGTTAGTTTTGGGGCCACTGTCACCGCGCAGCCATTCAAACTACCTTAGCATTGGAAAACGGTTGACACTGTCTAAGTACATTTTTGTGTTTTTATCCCAAATGACAAAACGTGTAAACATCTTAATTACGTAAATCACTCAATGTCAACATGCCTTCGGTTTGACGTCTAGTCACCACGAGAACAGAGGCGAATGTTACTTCCCGGGCCATTAATACAAGCTAGTGTTTAGAGTATCTTTTGCCGCCAAAACAAAATATGAATTCTCTCACAGTGTAGTAATTAATGTCAAAATAATACTCTAAGTCAGATTCTTGGCTATATTTAAACTATCCACCTGCATCAGTTCTTTAATTCGCTATTCTCACTTTCTTTACAGTTTATGAACACAACGCTGTGCTATGAAAATCTCATGTAAAAAGTAAAACACAAATTATTAGCTAAAAAATTGGATAAATCCAATCCAACATACATCTGGAACTAAAATTTTATCTCTTTAAATGTGAAATTACTTCTTTAAAATCGAGTAATCACAAGGTTAAACGTAAATGAGGACAGCAAACAATTCACATATTAATTCACTACATGGTTCAGAAGCAACTTTGCACCCTGATTAAAATGATTTGTTATTGCTGTATCATTTCGAAAAACGTCCATAATGAAGATATTATTAGTAATTAAACAGAAGGAACGGCTGTAGGCAAAATGAGGATAATTCCAAGTTTTCAAGTCTGTCAAAAATATATTAGCAAACATCCGAGCCAGAAATGTCAAATTTAACCTCAATAAGTAACCTCCTTTGTCACAATTTCTAATTCAAATAAACTTTAAAAATTGTGCTGAATGTCACCAGTACTGCTTTATTTAACGCTCCTTTTAGGAAAATGGGGCCCTCTTTTTGGAAACAAGTGCAAAAGCCGGAACAAATGTTGACTCCGCCTTTCTTTCCATAACAAAGCAAGTTGATTTTCTCCTAAGGTTTTGTGACGAAGAATGAAACTCTGTTTTAACTAAATGAGCTAAGGAAATCAAGCAAATCCTGTTAGCTTGTTGTAGATTTTTGGTCATTTAATTAGCAATGTACATAAATCATAAATATTCAAGCTTTTACTAAAAAGGCTCTTGAGAGTTGCCAAGTCTACGTAGTAGAGTCAAACAGCGCGTCTATTGACGAAAGTTTTGCTTTTCCTTGGAGGATGCAGTGAAATTCTACATCCCTCAAGCACCATTTATACGGCCAATCCAGAGGCAGGAACAATAGCAAAACTCTCTTTGGATCAGCAATTAAATGTCAACCATTTCTGTCAGCCCAAATAGCCTCTTCGATGAGGTTTAAAAAAATTGCAAAAATACTTAGGACCTGATTTGAAACTAATAAGCTCATGTGCTATTTTGTCCAAAAGTTCTAAATACATTTAATCAACTTTTTTAAATTTCACAAAAATTGGAGAATACAGAATCAAACACACAAATCGCCAAATCAATTTTAACTGTTATATCTGTTGCAGGAGTCTCATTCATAAGAGAGAGACTAGAGGGGTAGATAATTGTACGGAGAATCCGGGCAGAAAAATGGAACAGTCGAGGCAAATTTCACTGGCGGAAGAGCCAGACACAATAAAGCAACGTTTCATTCATTTGATGAAGTCATGTTGTTGAAAGATCTACCTTCTCCTACCGGCCAAATTTTGGAGCCCTTTTTCTGCTCAAATACAAACTATGTTCTTGGCTTTGTTTTGAATTGCATTTGCAAAATTTTTACGTGCGGATCACTTTTCTAGCTTGATTAAGAAGACGGGGCTATCCGTTTCTACATGGATACATAAACACTTACGGAAGGAATGTGGCCTAAGAATACATCAAGTTCCGAGTCACTTTAAAAATTGGCATGACGTGATGTAAGTAGTAATTTATCCACATTGTTCACAAAAAAGACAATGAGGCCGCTTGTTTTTGATTTGACTATAGAGTTCAAATGCCCCACTCAACTTAGCAAATATTTATTATTTAGATTTTATTTCATTTTCCCATGTTGGCAGTTATTCACTTTACTGAATTTGTGAATTTATTACCATAGGAGATGGTTGCCGAAATTTCGTTTGGTTCTAGAAGAGCTTCCAAAATCACAGCAGTGTAAATAGAAGACAGAAAAGTAGAGTGAATGACAACATACTGTATTACTGATGCCACTGGCTCGTCATGAGTTGGCTCCTAAATAAATACATTTGGTACGTTTCTGTTGAGTAGTCCACTTGTCCTCCTACACGGCGCGAACAATTTTATGTCAGGCGTTTACGATTATTCGGCGCATTTCCAATGTCACGACACTTGGTGCACAGGCAGTAATTGGCAAAGCACTGTTTCCGATCCTTTGGCGATACGACTTTATTGTCCTCTGAATGTTGCAACATGTTTGAAAACTTGTCCATTGATATGCCCCTTGCTTGTAAGTCCTGGTCAGACAGGGGGCAGTTGAGCCAACATTCAACAACCACTGTTCATATACAGAAGTGGCCTGTGTAAAGAGAGATTTTATTAAATATCTTTGCAGTCTTGAATGTATAAGTAGATTCGTTGAGTGAGATGCCAAAATTTTTGAGGTCTGTGGGGAACTCATTTGTAAAATACATGCATGTTGCTACTGGGAATGCACAAACTTTACTCTAAAGCTTGTTACAAGGGTACGGTTTCCAAGAAGGCACATATATCCAGGGAATATTGCGAAACCAAGTAACGGATATTTAACCATAGAAACCTTGAGAATAAAAGAATTAGTTTTATATTAGCGCATTTTATCGCCAGTTTCCTAAAGAATTCTTATTTTTCGCAGTCTTGGTTAAGTATGCTCAGATTAAGCACTGAAATCAGCAATATACAAATTTTAGTGATGTAAATGCTAAATCCCTATAAATAAAGCACTAAAATCCGCCACACATGTTCACAAACTATTAAATGAGCGAAAAGGTCTCTCTCACCCTTGAAAGCAATTTGTGACACACTGTGCTCCACTTTGCCGATGTCAACTCTAAAACCTTAAGATTTTGTAATTATTTTTGAATGCAAAACTAATTAATTTTTTTTGTTATTGTTGCAAGATTGTGCAGTTTTTAAAATTGTCACTTGAATATACTTCCGGAATACTCATACTACTATGCTGCATTGATTGATTTGGTGCTTGATAACCGTAGACTAGCATTCTGAATACAAAACCAGAAATTAAGGCACCTGCGATAGTTTTCCTATTAGCTATTTTTCAATGGCAATGTCTGCGGTAATTTATTAGACCGTTTGAAAAATTTCAATGAAACCATTTAGTATGCTGGCATGCAGCTTGAAATCCCTTGGTTCCAATGAAGACAGGCAAGATATTATTCAATCTCTGACTTTTTGAAAATCCGTAGGAACTCAGTATGATGCGAGTACGGAACACTAAATGAATTCCTGTAGACAGGTATACCAAATAGGACTTCTAAAGTCATAATCGACTTCGTACTCCTCAACTCGCTGCAAACAGAACGAAAGCTAAAATATTCACTCTCATCGAACAATATCGCCTTCTCTCACGCCTCTATCTCATTCTTAAGTGCAAATCTACCCATAGGTCAGTATGGTAGCACGAGGGTATGCGTTGCCTCATCGGAATAAAATTTATCTACAAAGTGACTATTACTTACTTTTTCAGCTAAAGGAACCTTTTATGGCACCAAAAATACACCAAACTGGGTTAATGTATATTTGTTTGAATTTTGCAAGAAATCTTTTAAAATCATTTGGTTGTGCAGTACTCCTCAAACGCACAATGCAAGCAAAATTTTTGGAGACAAAGTGATTGGCGTCATGGCGATGTAAAATGAAGTGCAAGTGAACAATTTGGGTGCGTCCAACAATGCTTGTTTGATTAACAATTTTCAAGTTTGTACAAAAAGGGGTTCTTACAAGTCCGAACACTACAAGTTGATGTTGGTGTGGGCGAAATGAATCCTTACAAACTTTAAACAATACATCAATGTAAATCATCCTTGACATAAAATTTCCGATTTCTTGAATTTGTGATAGCATTGGCCTCTTGCTCCACTATCAACAGTTAAAGGTCCCTATATTGCATTTTCGGAACACATATCTCTGAGTAATCCAATGTCATATTTAAATTGTATTATTTAGCCCCTTCCACATCCTCCTCAGACAATATGCAAGTCATTATCCCTATGAAATTAATTTATATTTGGTTAGATCTGCACAAAATGGGTCCGATTTGAGTGCATTTGATTGGGTGAAAGTGGATTGGCAACAATTGCTTGGAGATCCTAAATAAATTTCCCCTCACTTTTAATTGCCATCAAAAACACGCATGGTTGCTAAAAGTGTCTATAAATCAGCCGTCTCTGCGACCAACATGGATCATCCCACTCCTAAATTGCGTGGTGAATAGCCAGTTAAATTCCATAAAACTGACATAAAGTATAAACTGTTATCAAAATTGAAAAGTTGGAGAAATATATCACAAGTGATTTCAATTTTTCACCTGTTTTTTATTTAACAGTTGCTCATATCAGGCAGATTTAGGCATAATTAAGTCTCATTGAAGTAAACCCAATAAAAATGGCCGGAGTTTGCGCAGATTAAAGCGGTTGAATAATTCCTGTATCTACCGCGTTCAACTACTATCGGTAGCTAACATGGTCCATTGTCCTTTGCAATAGTCCCACAAGACGACTCATTAAGTCAAAGTGTTTTTAAAATATATAGAAATAGCTCAAAACACGGCATAATCCAAAAATCTTTTTATTCCTTTGACAGTAGTCACAACGATAGCGGTAAATATTGCTTGAACTGACTGACCGTAATATATAGCCTCTCATCGCTGTTTGACATAGTGGACTGCTATAGAACCAAGAAATGAGAAGTTTATTTTTGCCTCTGGCAAAAGTTGCTATGCGCTTTCTTTTTCACCCCCACAAACTTACTTGATGCTCAACTCAAAAGACAATCGCATCTGTTAGGAAGGGAAAGTCATATTGTACCAAAAAGAAGAAACCTTCCGATACTGCATTTTTCCTGGGGCCTTTCTAGAACTCATCATAGCATAGGTCAAGCAGATCACATGCGAGCAATGTTACTTTGTCCCCTTATCAAGCACACTTAATCGAAATAAAAACTTTCATTTATTTTTCTGTCTAGATCTGTTGCATCCTATGTACCATTCTTAAGAAGCGACTATGTTTGCTAGCCATGGTTAGATCCACTCATTCTATTCACGTATTATAATTGCTTACTTTGGACCATAATTTATTGTTTTGATTGCAGCACTTATTTGTTGATGCAAACTTAACTATATTTTTACGTTTAGATTGCCTTTTTAAAATGTTTTAGCACAATTGCTTTCCATACCGATGCCCTTGGCACTATAAAAGGCAAAATGAAAGGGAGCTTTATGATTTAATTTACAATACCAACACAAATAGCGAAAGGAATTTGCAGGAAGTACTACTACTAATAAGTGGACGCATGCCATAAAAAGAGGGTCAGAATTTGACCTTAAGGACTGAGAATTAACTTACTCTTAAGCAGAACAGAAACATGTCAAGTTTTCTCATTGTTTAGCTTGGGAAAAGATGTTTTTCTTAGCTTAGGCAAGTACTACTGCTGTTGTGTTGACTCCATTCGAGCACTTCTGCATCTCATGTTTCTGCGTACGTACCCGGTATTCGCATGGACTCTGTTAACTTACAGCGCTTTTTATGTAGGAAAACCAAATAGCTACTTAACAGAAGAAAGGATGGCCTTCATTTATGATGTGCTTTAAATACTTTTTTGATTACCTGTAATTAATTCATAGCCTTAGGCAATTTGCACTCATTCAAATTACCCAGTATTCACTAAAGTGATTATTTTCTCGAGTGTCAGGGAAGCTGCTTGTAATCACACATTGAATTATTGCCCTAGTGGGATAAAATGCTTATTCTATGTCAACACTGCATTAATTCATAAAAACCACCA